GTTTCCTTTCTTGTTCCGATACGAGAATTAAACTTGGGAAAATGCTAACTACATGTCTTTTAACACGTTAATTAACGAGTTCTATGTCCAGTTCAAGAAAATTGTGCCTTTTCAAATGCAAGTATGCTCAACTTCGAGTTGGGATTCCTATGCTTTTGCTTATCGTGATACAGGCAGGTCGTACATAAATCCCTACTTCTAGATGGTTTTCACATATCATTAAAAAGAAAAGGGAAAAATGTGTACAGACCCCAAAAACAGAAACTTCATGTGACGAGGCCCCTCATATTTTTTCCCATGAGAATAAGCCCCTTGATGTGTGACACTTTGAACATCAACCATTTTTTATCAATTATTACATGCCAGCTAAGCTAAAATCCCCAATTTATCCTTATCCTCTCTTCTTAATCTCTCAGACCCAACATTCATATCATCTTTCTCTCTCATCTCCTCTCTCTCTCTCTCTCTCTCATCTCTCTCTCTCTCTCTCTCTCTCTCTCTCTCTCTAAAACTAAGAGTTTTCTCAAGCTCGTCACCCTGGCCCTCGCCCTCCTCGCCGTTGCCGCCTCCGCTCAGGCCCCCAAGGCTCCCCTCGAGTTCGCCACCGCCTCCCCTCCCCTCCTCCACCCGTCCTCGTCGTCATAGATCGCCACCGCTCCCCTGTTGTAAATCGTCGCCGTCGAGACGCACAGAACATTAATCCATTAGCTAGAAGAAGAAAAGAAAAAAAAATGTTTGACCAGCTACAAATAAATGAACGATTTAATTTTAAAAAATAGTCAAAAGTTGTCCCCATTTTTCCACTTTCACGAGACATCCACGTCTTTTGGAGGAAGCTGAATTTGCAATAAACCTAATGTGCGTAGTCTTTTTGTATTTTAATTTTGATTTTTTTTTAAAATAGACAATTTTTAAAACTTAATTAGCAAAATACGCTGAAAAATATTTAATTACTAAATATCGTTGTAAGCTGGGACAGTAGTTATAAATCATTGTTATAAATGAGGATACAGACATATTTTTATAAATCGTTGTTAATTATATTTGATAATAGTTATACCTAATGATATGTTATTTCTAGATGCTTGCGTGGTAGTTCTAGTAGCCCTCGAGTTAGTTCTAGATTCTATTACCCTAGTTCTAGCTGTATACAGTCAGTTCTAGCCCACACCTTACTAGTTCTAAACTCAGCCCGCGTTTTTTACCTTCACACTTGTTAATTCATGCTTCTACGTTAGTTTTAGCTTCTATTACCCTAGTTCTAGCTTGTATACAGCCAGTTATAGCCCACATCTTGCTAGTTCTAAACCCAACAAGGGTTTTTTACATGCACACTTGTTAATTTTTGCTTCTACGTTAGTTCTAGCTTTTATTACCCTAGTTCTATCTTGTATACAGCTAGTTCTAGCCCACACCTTACTAGTTCTAAACTCAGCCTTAGTATTTTACCTTCACACTTGTTAATTCTTGCTTCTACGTTAGTTCTAGCTTCTATTACCCTAATTCTAGCTTGTATACAGCCAGTTTTAGCCCACACCTTGCTAGTTCTAAACACAGCTCGCGTTTTTTACATGCACACTTGTTAACTCTAGCTTCTAGCTCAGTTCTAGCTTCTATTACCCTAGTTCTAGCTTGTATACAGCAAGTTCTAGCCCACACCTTACTAGTTCTAAACTCAGCCCGTGTTTTTTATCTTCACGCTTGTTAATTCATCCTTCTACGTTTGTTCTAGCTTCTATTACCCTAGTTCTAGCGTGTATACAGCTAGTTCTAGCCCACACCTTACTAGTTCTAAACTCAGCCCGTGTTTTTTACCTTCACACTTGTTAATTCATGCTTCTACGTTAGTTCTAGCTTCTATTATCCTAGTTCTAGCTTGTATACAGTCAGTTCTAGCCCACACCTTGCTAGTTCTAAACCCAATAAGGGTTTTTTTACATGTACACTTGTTAATTCTAGCTTCTAGCTTAGTTCTATCTTTTATTACCCTAGTTCTAGCTTGTATACAGCAAGTTCTAGCCCACACCTTACTAGTTCTAAACTCAACCCGTGTTTTTTACCTTCACACTTGTTAATTCATGCTTCTACGTTAGTTCTAGCTTCTATTACCCTAGTTCCTTCACACTTGTTAATTCATGCTTCTACGTTAGTTCTAGCTTCTATTACCCTAGTTCTAGCTTGTATATAGCCAGTTCTAGCCCACACCAGTTCTAGCCCACACCTTACTAGTTCTAAACCCAACAAGGGTTTTTTACATGCACACTTGTTAATTCTTACTTCTACATTAGTTCTACCTTCTATTACCCTAGTTCTAGCTTGTATACAGCCAGTTCTAGCCCACACCTTACTAGTTCTAAACCCAACAAGGGTTTTTTACATGCACACTTGTTAATTCTTACTTCTACATTAGTTCTACCTTCTATTACCCTAGTTCTAGCTTGTATACAGCCAGTTCTAGCCCACACCTTGCTAGTTCTAAACCCAACAAAGGTTTATTACATGCACACTTGTTAATTCTTACTTCTACGTTAGTTCTAGCTTCTATTACCCTAGTTCTAGCTTGTATACCGTTAGTTCTAGCCCACACCTTGCTAGTTTTAAACCCAACAATGATTTTTTACATGCACAGTTGTTAATTCTAGTTCTAAACCCAGTCTGTGTTCTAGAACTGGCTGTATACAAGCTAGAACTAGGACAATAGAAGATAGAACTAAGGTAGAAGCAAGAATTAACAATTGTGCATGTAAAAAACACGAGCTTGGTTTAGAACTAGTAAGGTGTGGGCTAGAACTGGCTGTATACAAGTTAGAACTAGGGTAATAGAAACTAGAACTAACGTAAAAACAAGAATTAACAAGTGTGCATGTACAAAACCCTTGTTGGGTTTAGAACTAGCAAGGTGTGGACTAGAACTGGCTGTATACAAGCTAGAACTAGGGTAATAGAAGCTAGAACTAATGTAGAAGTAAGAATTAACAAGTGTGCATGTAAAAAATGCTGGTTTGGTTTAGAACTAGCAAGGTGTAGGCTAGAACTGGCTGTATACAAGCTAGAACTGGCTGTATACAAGCTAGAACTAACTCGAGGGCTACTAGAACTATCACGATAGCATCTAGAAATAACATATCATTAGGTATAACTATTATCAAATATAATTAACAACGATTTATAAAAATGTGACTGTATCCTCATTTATAACAACGATTTATAACTACCGTCCCAGCTTACAACGATTTTTGGTAATTATTTATAACAACGATTTATAACTACCGTCCCAGCTTACAACGATTTTTGGTAATTAAATATTTTTTCAGCATATTTTGCTAATTAAGTTTTAAAAATGGTCTATTTTAAAAATTTGTTCGAAATTAAAATACAAAAAGACTGCGCACATTAGGTTTATTACAAATTCAGCTTCCTCCAAAAGGCGTGGATATCTCGTGAAAGTGGGAAAATGGGGACAACTTTTGACTATTTTTTAAAATTAAATCGTTCATTTATTTGTAGTTTGGTCAAACATTTTTTTCTTTTTTTTTCTTTTCTTCTTCTAGCTAATGGATTAATGCTCTGTGCGTCTCGACGGCGGCGATCTACGGCGACGAGGACGGATGGAGGAGGGGAGGGGAGGCGGCGGCGAACTCGAGGGGAGCCTTGGGGGCCTGAGTAGAGGCGGCAACGGCGAGGAGGGCGAGGGCCAGGTTGACTAGCTTGAGAAAGCTCTTAGTTAGAGAGAGGGGGGAGAGAGAGAGAGATGAGAGAGAGAGAGAGAGAGGAGATGAGAGAGAAAGATGATATGATTGCTGAGTCTGAGAGATTGAGGAGAGAGGATAATGATAAATTGGGGATTTTAGCTTAGCTGGCATGTAATAATTGATAAAAAATAGCTGCAGTACAAAGTGTCACACATCAAGGGGCTGATTCATATGGGAAAAACTATGAGGGGCATCGTCACATGAAGTTTCTCTTTTTGGGGTCTGTACACATTTTTCCCAAAAGAAAAAGAAAAAAAAAACTAGGTGGGCTTTCCTAACTTAATTTTTGGATACTTATGAGGAAATCTACTTACTGATGTGAAAATTAAGACTGTTTCATCCTCTACTAAAAGTAAATAAAAACTACTAATAAATAACTTATAATTAAAGCTTCATAAAATAAGTATCAATGCTCTCAATAGGACGTGTGTTATTAATCTATAATAATTTCAGAATCAGTTTTCACCTTCAACTAATTTCTTAGTATTTGTCCCTACGTAATTCATGAGAAGGCGTCGGGGGTTATGTGAATTTGTTCTTTTAAAAAGACCAAATCCATGAGAGGAAAGAAGGCATAAATATTTTCTTTTTTTCTTCTTCATTATTATTTTTAAATATTTATCTTCCCCTAATAAATACATATAGATATCTACTCATCTTGTATACAAATGATAGAATTCAAGATTCACTATTCATACTACAGTAAATATTAATGCAGCATTACCATTGTAGCACACTGGATATTGTAGCATTTTAAAAGAAAAATTACTGCAACAGAGTCGGGAACTGTAGCGTCGTTCTTTGAAAATACTATAGCATTAATATTATAGCACGGGTATACTGTAATAATTTTAAAAAAACATAGGATACTGTAGCAATTCAAAAAATTCTTACTGCAACATTTAAAAAAAACATGATTATTGTAGCGTGGAAAAAAATTATCGCGATAGCACACTAGTAAATTATATAAAGGAGCTCACCACAATTTAGCCCATATATGATTTATTGCGAGGAATAGCCCATATATGATTTATGTGAGCACAATTCTATAAGCTTGGATTACCAACAACCTTCTTCAATTTTGTCGAGCAAAAATTCAGTTGAGCAATAATTGGATCCTGGAATGTTCTAAAAACTCGAAACTGGTAAATAAAGTAGGGGATCGAGGGGAAAAATAGAAATTACAAATGTAACTGCCAAGGCCAAAAAGAAACAAAAGACACCGAACTGCTCTTCAGCCTCCCTCTCACTCGAAAGTCTGCCACGTGTAAATCGCATGCTTCTGTGTATGATCAGCATCGTTGCTAGGGTTCTCGAGAAAAAAGAACATGGATAATTTGATGGTGGGCCTCCGTCGATTGATGGCGATAGTAGAAGCGCTCTCTCTGCATATAAAATATCAACAAGGTCCAAATTTCCCTTTCCCCCTATTTTTTTTGGTTGTAATTAATCATTACTTTCGACTTGAACTTTGATCTAAAAAATAAATAAACGACGTACCTTTTCCATTTCCTTTTATAGCATGGTCTGGGGAATGCAAAGTTTGATAGAAAGGAAAAAGGACTAATCTGTTAATTTAGTTTGACGCATACGTCTTATTATTTATTCTCTTTTTTTTTAAGAGCACAGCTATATTTTTCCATTTTTTTTCCAGAGCACAACACGCATAAATATTTAGCATGATTGTGGGCTTTTTTTTCAGGGAACAAAAAGTTCCCCCGCATTGAGAATAAAAACTAAGACGCATATATAGGATAAAAGGATGAAGTGTAGATCACAATGAGCTTAATTCTGTGGAGAAACTGTACAGTAGTGATCTCCGTTTATTACTATGTCTATCCTTGGATCAATGTACAAATCTTGTTCTCTGCAATATCGATCTTGGCAACTGATATATGCTGATATTCCACAGGTATTTCCATGTGCTGATTACAATCATGTAAAGAGCTCATCCACAATATTTGACTATATATATATTCTAGCTGGTTTTGGTCTTTCCTAATTCGAAAATTTAAAGCGCATAAGTAACATTTTGTTCTCTGCGTGAAGATTTTGGTGACAATTGAGATGTAGCACTTCACTTCAAATTGTTTTTGTGGCAGATGGCAATTACGGCAGTGCGGAGCTTAACCATGTATCTGATTTTCAAGGAGTGTATAAGAATCTTCACATACCAGCAGTCATCGTTGGAGGCGTGTTTGCTCTAATTGCACTCGTCCTTTCTACTTTCTTAATCTTTCAGCATCTAAGATCATACAACAATCCTGCTGTTAAGTCATGCGCCCGCTATTCTATTTTATACCTAAAGTTTATGAATATGCCATATAATTTCAATTTGATTGATTAGACGAAGTCTGACGGTGGCATGAACTTGATGTTCTTGCAGGAGCAGAAATGGATAATTGGCGTCCTATTCATGGTTCCAGTGTATGCAAGTGAATCTGTAAGCATCGGTTGTTGCTTTCTACATGTCCTAGTTAATTTCTCATGAGATTAGCTACAAGCATCACAAGTAAATAGAATATGTAATGTTACTTATACGCTGACTTATGTTCTAGCAAAGATAACCAAAAAGTATCCATATATACAACATTTGTCATAATCAAGTGACTCAAACAATGTCTAATTCATGGCCAACAGGTGGTTCTATAAAGAAAGTGGATAACATGATACAATATACATTACCATGTTCCTGTTGTCAGTATTCTGGGGAAAAAAAATTTTGTTTGCCATTTAGTAATAAAGATCAAGAATTTTCAGGAAATAATTATGTTCCTTCTCCTTGTGCAGATAATATCTTTATCAAAAGCAAAATTTTCCATTGTGTGCGATATCCTAAGAAATTGCTATGAAGCATTCGCCTTGTACTGTTTTGGAAGCTATTTGGTTGCCTGCCTAGGTAAGCAGAGATTTATTATTTATTTAACTAAAGGTAATAAAGCTTAACTTTGGTTGTATTAACCATCAGCAAAGTTGTATCTTATAATGATGTAGTAATTGCTATATCAGCCTCTTCTATCATCAATTATGTTTAATACAACTTAGAACCGTTGCTATGTCAGGCGCTTCTATCATCAATTAGTTAAATGCTGATTATACCGCATATAGGCCATCCCTGTCCGTTCTCTATATCTTGAAACTTGAAATAAGTAAGACAGGTGGACCTTGAGTACATATATATCTCTGTGAAAGTATTTCATCCATTTAAATGGATAATGCATTAACTGACATGTCTATTATTACTAGACACATAACGCTGCCGCTACATAATATAAGCGTAACTATGCCAGGTGGGGATGAGAGAGTTGCAGAAATTCTTGATAAAGGATCAAAGAAAAAGCTTCAAGAGCAATTGCTCGAAGGGGATGAGGAGAAAGGATTGCCACGGCGCAGCTCATCACTTCATGATTTCTTTTGTGACCCAAGTGTGCTAGGAAACGACTTGTACGTGATAGAAAAATTTGGCCTTGTACAATATGTAAGACTTTGTACTATCTTTACTCATCTATATATGTTTGATTGTTTCCAATTTCTAATTTCTTTTTAACTTATGCTCATAGATGATATTGAAGACGGTGTGCGCCTTCTTGGCAATGTTGTTGGAAGTTTTTGGAGTTTATGGGGACGGCGAATTTAAGTGGTATTATGGGTATGTATGAGATACTATGTACTTCTGTCAGAAGGTTACTCGCACTTAAGTACCCCCAAAGCCTACGCAATTAACTATTGATATGCCAAAGTCTATCCCCCCCCCCCCCCCGCCAGAAAAGATATCCAAAGTTGATAAATAATCAACTTTGATACCCTAGAATGACTGAAACGGGGGTACGGAATTTCAACTTTTTTGAATTTCGGGGGTATATTTATGGCAAGAATAAACTTTGGGGTACCAGAGTTAAAATGGTGTAAACTTTGGAGTATTAAAGTGCAAATAACCCCATAGAGTGTTATTTTTATAGCTAGTTCCCTTTGTGGACTCATGAACAACTTTTTTTTGGTTCAACCTTCTCTCTTTGACATGAACATTGACAATTTATTGCAGATACCCTTATATTGCTGTTGTTATAAACTTCAGTCAGATGTGGGCATTGTACTGTCTTGTGCAGTTTTACAATGTTACTCATGAGAGGTTGGCACCTATTAAACCTTTGGCAAAGTTCATCAGCTTTAAAGCCATTGTGTTCGCGACTTGGTGGCAAGGCGTGGGTATTGCTATAATATGTTACTTTGGTATCTTACCTAAGGAAGGGAAGATTCAGAATGGAATCCAGGATTTTCTTATTTGCATAGAAGTAAGTCCTTTCCTAATATGTTAAACATCGTGAAGTATCTTTGTCGCTAAGCATTAGGTTGACCTCAGTAAAGCATGATAAAGTATGGAGAAAGGTAAAGATATAAAAGACAAGGATATAATTGTTATCAATTTTATTATTTACAATTCTATTTAAATGGTATGTCCTGGTACATGTCGAATTGGATGGTATGATAACTGAAGGTATCTGTTATCAGTGGCCAAATCTTTGAGCAGATTGAATAATCAGAACTAATGATTTTCCTTGTGGGTGCAGAAAAGAGAATGTTTGTCAATTATTTTCACTTATTTGGATGTGAGATGAGGATTAGATTGATGCAAACGAGACTCAATGAGTATGATGTAACACTTATTTATTATGTTTCCTAATGGTTAGATGGTAAAAAGTGAGTTATGCAAGTATGAGTACTCTGAGGAAACAGAGAATTCTGGTAATCTTTTATCTGAAAATTTAAAAAAAATGTAGACCGAAGAATAGAGAAAGCAGTTTACGTGTCTAGTTGTATATAAGAATATTCAACCAAAAAAAGCCCTGAACTTTGGGGTGTTGTGCTAAAAAACTCCCTGGACTTTATATATTAGGCAATGCCTCCTAAAGTTTGCAGGTGTCCTTTTCAAATTTTGGGCCATATTCTTCATCTATAATTTTCACTCGACTTCTTGTTTTGTTCATCACTATCGCTACCCAGACAGTTGTGGATCTTTCTTAACAGATGGCCATTGCAGCTGTTGCCCATATTTTTGTTTTTCCGGTCGAACCATACAAGTTCTTTCCTGCATCTGGATATGAGGAAGTTACCTCTATAGAAACGAAATCTGACATTAAGGTGGATGAGGATTCTGAGGGGAAACCAGCTATTGTTGAAGAGACTGAAATGAAAGTTGAAGCTCCAGGAACGAGTATTACTGAGAGTGTTCAGGATGTTGTCGTTGGAGGTGGCGAACATGTAAGTTCCCTTAACCCTTCTCCCTTTAGTGCTATTATAACTAGCTGAACATATATATCTATCATCTAATAATATTATCACTGCATTTGTTTACTTATTTCAAAAAAAAAGTTCTATAGAAAGTATGATGACATTTACTGTCAAAATATCTGAAGTGCTTGAAGTCATACACCCATGTCATCTACTTTCAGAGGTCTTCATCTCAAGTAAATCAGCTGGGTATTTTCTTCCCAACGTAAGTTCTTGTTTTGTTAACTTTTGTAAAATAAACACACATATTCATCAATTAGTGGGCTAATTGTGCATGCATAAACATACATAGGCATGTTTATGTACATATGTTGCTATCTTTTATTGACTACCCGAAGTTAACTAACTGGATATATATTCTAAGAAAACCCACCAAGGACTGATTTATCTTTTCAAAGGAATTTCATATTTCCATGGCCCTGCACTGATCTAGGCGTGAAATCAAAGTTGCAACATTAACTAATGAACCATCTTAGCAATCTTTATGCTTCCTGTTAAATGGAAAGCTTCTAAGTCAACATTGCAAGCAAATTATTCTGCGGTTTATAGACATTGAAGCAATCAGTGTATCGTAACTGCTGTAGTCATTTCATTTCAATGGTTTTTCACAGGTAGTTAAAGACGTCGCATTGACAATATCCCAAGCTATAGAGCCTGTAGAGAAAGGTGTCACAAAGATACAAGAGAGCCTCCATCTATCTATGGGATCAGACAAGGAGGACGAAGGACGTAAGGTTGAGGTCGAAGAGCAGGTCACGGAGAAAGCGGAAGATGGCGAGGTTGAAGTAATTAGTTCGGAGAAGGTAATTGCTGAATCCAGTGATTAAAGCCGGAAGTTCTAGGATAGAATGGAAGTATCAGCAAAGGTTTGTTTTGAGAGTCAGAATGTTCGAAGAGACAGTGCAGCAGGAAATCTCATGTTTTTAGCTTACTTTGTTTAGGCTTGTGGGTATAGTTTGTGATAGTGATTTTATTTCTTCAGGATCTTGATTGCTTGAGTGGTGTTATTGTGAGGTCAGAGCTTCGATTGCTGTTGTTGTTTTTCCCCCTTCTTTTTACCCCCAGTTTCTATAAAGGGAAAGTTAAAGAGGAGCAATTGTGTGCGTCTTTTAATAAAGGGTTATCCATGTTTCTGGGGCTAGCTCAATTTTCAAGAGTTAACTTCCATCTCAACGTCGCTCACGTCCATTTCTTCAAGTGCTGAAGCACAAGACCTAAAAACTGTGCAATAGTACGTTGCACTGTAAACTTTTGATATTTTACTATCTCAAACCATTAGGGGTTAGTCTCTGCTAGTCAAACCAAAATAGAACGGGAATCTAGAAACGAAGATGTCAAAGCTACAGAACTTCAAACGAACAAAACTATACAGACAGATGAAATGACAAAAAACTGCTACATTAAAGCATGGAAAATTGAGAATCTTCACAAAACTGGTATAAATGGGAAGCTTAAGTTGACAAGCACATAAAAGCATTGCTTGTGTGAACATTGTACTTTTTAATCATACAACACCTAAATAACTACTATTACAAGAACAAATACAACAAGCCAAGAACGAAAAGTACACTAATCGGAGCCACCACCACAACATAATGAGCAGCATTCGAAGCAAGCCAAGAACGAAAGAGCAGTGCAGAGCTGTGTCAAAGCAATCACACACTGATCGTTCATTTTGGAGCACGCCTTGATGAAGCACATACAACAGCAGCAGTCACAGAGTTTGCTGCAGCATCCAGCGGCCTTAACGAGGACGTGGGATGTCTCCGGAGGTTTCAGCTCTCCGAATCCTGTAGGGAGATTTTCTGTGGTCGCAGCTACATTTCCAAAACCAAGTTTCATCCCATGCACCAAATTTATGGGTTGGTCTTTGGTCTTGCCTTGTTTATGCTTGTCCTGCTTCTTTGCCTGCGGTCAAAGGTTTATAGGAATCTGCTTTCCATAATAGATTATTATAAAATAGTTTTTTTTCGTATATATACCCCTTACAAGCAAAATGACCTCCCAAATCCTGAACTTTTGAGGAAAAAACGCCCCGAATCAACAAATCATCAATATATAAGTTTAAAGCATAATTATATGTTATTTGACCCCATCTACACTAAATAACAAAATGGAGGAAGAGAGTGACAACGTTGGCCTTTTGGGTTTCTTTGGTGTGCATGTTAAAATGCATAATTCAGTTTCATATGTGAAGTTCCTTGAGAACGAATGAACAAGATGGATGCTCCGACTCTTCCAAATACAATTGGAAGTTACAAATTTCATCCAGATTCTTGGGCATGTTTTTATGATGTAAACCATGTAAGAAAATCCCTTTATTAAGGTAGTAACTTTATCGGGTAGGCTACCCAAGTCACAGATTTCCATGTTATTAATGGAGAAAAATCTATGCAAACTCTTTGCCTTTCGTATTTCTCGCTTTAATTATTTTCAATCCACTGAGATAATTTTTCTTGCCTAAATAGCTTCACTTGCAGCCAGTTTAGTCTTATCAAATCAGTAAATATATTATGCAAGTTCTGGAGGATAAAACAAACTAACAAAACAAACAAAATTATCAGTGTACCTGCTTTACCCCATCCTGTTTCTCTTCCTCATGCCGGAGCAAGATCATATCAGTATACTCAGCTGGGATTCCACTGTCTATGCTTCGTTTGATGACCTATAAAATCTTGACAAAGGAAATTAAGAAGAATACAATCTTGTCACTTAAATACCAAATGAAATTCACACTTGTAGCAAAACTGTGATAGTCAATTTCAAATGGAAGTTTTTGCCAAAATCAAATTGGCATGTTTATTTCCAATGACAGAAATGCCCTTGGTCTTCATGAGTTAACCTTTATAATAAAGAATTATGAAAGGATCGATGGTAAATGATTATGAAAGAGTGGATAAATGGCATTTCTTTATCTAATTGAATACATCTGTAAATCCTTTATAAGAAACAGAGAAGGATTTGCTAAAAGAACTACTTATTTGTGTAAATAGTTCTGTTCAAGTAGAAGAATAAAATCCATTATAAGAAACAGAGAAGGATATGCTAAAAGAACTACATAGCGTAAATAATTCTATTTAAATTGAAGAACAAAAATCAAAAGTAATATACTTAAAATATAATACTGGGACAAAATTGTTTACTATCCCCGTGGTTCAACATCATTTTAAATATTTTCTTGGAACAGCTCCAAATGAAAGAAACCAGTAGAACACTTGAGACTGATGCTATACATTAGATTGCTTAACAGTATACTACAACTTATAACGACTGGATATTTATCCAAGAACAATGTCAATGTATATGGAGGATAATCAGTATATTAAAATACGTATGTACTAAATTATGTCAAGAAGCGGACATGATAGAGTAATATTTATGAAATTAACTTCCAGTGCTATAATATTGACGTAAATGTGGGAACAATCATAATATGAACATAAAAGTGTCATGGCTACAAAGTGAGAAGCTAACCTTTTCCTCAAGTTGTTTGCTTTCGGAAAACCATGCCTGAGAAGTAAGCAGATCAATTTGTTGTTTGGCGAGTACCTGTGAAGAACATCTCTCAGAGAAGTTGAACAAAAAAACTGACAAAATGCTAAGAAAGTTGCATGCATAAAAAAATAAATAAGCAAAAGTTTGGAATAAAGAAATGCACCCCAACTGAAAAGGAAATAGTTAATCTGAAGTAAAAGAATGATAAAGCAAAAGCAAATCACAGACAGTGAATATGTTTGGATATCATAAATTACAGGTTATAATTTTTGGCATTTCCAGCCTTATTTATCACCAGAATCTCTGAACTTTCAATTCAGTATTTTTTTTTAACTTTCAGTTATTTGAGGAATGTCGATGTTCTACACTATCCATTTCGTGAAAACCAAAACAGCAAGGAGATGCATCAAAAAGTGATTTGAGAACGACTAAAATATATCAAAATATCTTTCAATTTCACAACTCAGAATTTTACACAGCGAAAAATGATTTGAGAATTATTAAAGATATAAGAAGAAATTCACTTCAGCTTCACAACTCGGAGCTTTGATGCCAGGATTTTTAAGATGGTACAGAACCATCGGAATTAAAATGTGGTTGATTGCATGTTTAGTGGATAAAAAAATACCATGGCGCAAGAAACCATATTTCGGCACATAAATAGAGGTCTTGGCTTGTGATGCCAGTGCCAAAAAAAACACATTATCTGCCTCTTCCACTCCCTAGATACTTCCTGATCTAGGGAAACTTGGAAACTGGCTGCTTCCATGTTTGAGCATAAATGACATGATGCCATGTAACCAAAAGTTCTGATGCGGTCTCAGGTTCAAGACTCATCATCAGGATCTATAGTATCAAGACTCCTCATCAGGATCTATAGTATGGCTTTCTCTGAATTGGCACCAAAACATGGTGACTGATGTCAATTAGAGAGCCAGGCATAAAGTCCAGTCATGGTTATTTTTATATGTAAGGCAACCATACTAGATAATAGCCAAGGAGAAATATACTATACTGTAAAAGAAAAAGGAATTCAAACCAGCAACTGATCAAAGTCTATTTCATAGGCCATCATTATGTTAGGATCATATTTTTCATAGAAAACATAAGAAATACAGACATCTAAATCCCTTTACCAGGGAGTAAAACTGAATTGCAATTTGCAAGTACTGAATAAAGATCAATGCCTACAGAACATATTTAGCATATGTATAAAAGACGAATTGTCAAGTGATATCTTTTGCAGACATATCGGCTAAAAAACAAATTTGATGTCTTACTTTGTCAAGGGGGGTATCTTTCGCAATTTGGACTTTGAGGTCAACAAAACTGTCACTCATGTCCGCAAGGCTACCTTTAGCTTTTGCAGAATCTGGAAACCTGCCCTCATATCTTCCTGATACAACCAAAGGGCATCCCAATGAAAGATCTGGAATATTGAAAGGATACACCTAAAAAGGAGTAGAAAAATGCATTTAGCTTATAGGACACAAATTAGTATGCACCATAACATCTGAAAATGTGGTGCTTTGTAATCACTCTGAGGAGTTAAATGGTTAGAAGGAAGAAAAATAAAAAAGATAAAAGTAAACTCAGAAACTAGTAAAACTGTGCCTAGAGCACGCAACTGCATGTTTGTCTGAATTTGGAGCCTTCCATGGCATAGGCACACAAGACACGACATCAGCATCTCAAGCAAAGACCCAGAGCATAATAAAATAAATATTTTTGTCCATTATGATTATTAAAGATACTGTTATAAGCTTCCATGTCAGGTTGCTTGGTCTTTGATTTTACGTTCGAAATTCTTTCCGTAATAAGATAAAATTAGGTAATTGCATATGCACTTCTTTAAGAATTGATTAAGTGAGTTTACACCAATTTGAACATTAGAAAATTAGGAAAACTATATCAATCATTTGAAGAAATTTCTAATTTGAAAGAAATACATTAAGAGATAAAAGTGGCATACCTCGAATGCCTCGAGATGATCAAGGATGTCAATCGTTATATTTACAAGTATCGGAGATAAAGCTCTCCTAAACCATCTCCGCATCTGAACTTCAATGGAATCTAGATAAAAATAAAGAGTACCATCAGTTAAAGAATACTGCTGATGTCATGGAAATATGGAACCAACGAAGAGCAGAGAGAAACACAACTCAAAAAATATTTTCTTTTTGCGCAAAATATTAGAACAAATACCAAGATATCCAATGTCTGCGAAAAAGCTGGATATTCAATTAAAAAACTAGATATTCGAACAATAAACTACTATAAAAACTAGAATACTAGCATAAAACTTATGCAAGTAGTTAACCACAAGTCCACAACGTAGTAATAAACTACTATAACAACTATAACATAGTTAATAGACTACTATAACGACTTAGATCTGAAAAGATGTGCTAGCTAGAGATGTGCTTGGAATGGACTTAGCAGTTGATTGGACACCAGCTAGAAAAATTACATATCTTAATCTAAATTTAAAGAATTATTTTCTTCTCCATGAGATGAGGTATCATTGTAAAAAAAGCAAGAAAGTTATAAGTCCTCTAAAGGCTCTAACAGAAATATGATTCAAAAGGAAAT